TCTGAAACGCGTACGAATCTCACCCTAGCCCTCAGGGCTCCAAACCAAACACCCCCACAAGTCTGAATACATAACACAATCTCCCTTGCATGATCGGAACACCAAAATAACCTCTAGAACCACTAATCGGATGCCAAAACGCATGAAAATCACTATGAACTTCAAGAACTTCTAGAATTGCAACCAAGCATCCGAACCCAATCAATTCAACTCCAAACGACACCAAATTTTGCAGGCAAGTCCCAAATGACATAATGGAGCTGTTCCAACTTTCGAAATCGCATTCCTACCTTGATAACCCAAAAGTCAACTATGGGTCAAACTTCTCCATTTTCCAACTTTTGCCGAAATGCCTCAAATTACCCTACGGGCCTCCAAATCCAAATCCGAACGCACGCCTAAGTCCAAAATCACCATAGGAAGCTGCTGACATCATCCAAAACTCATTCCAGAGTCGTTTACTCAAAAGTCAAATTCCGGTCAAATTATCACCGCTTAAGCTTCCAAAACTAGATTCCTTCTTCCAATTCGACTCCGATTCATCAAGAAATAGAATCCAACCATGCACGCAAGTCGGTATACATAATATGAAGCTGCTCGTGACCTCAAACTGCCGAACTGGACGCAATTGTTCAAAACCACCGGTCAGGTCATTACAAATAATTATATATAAAGATATAAAGAAAATAGAACTTTATATAATCATATATATCCATTAATTAGATACATATATATCATACATTAGAAATGCATCAGAATATACCCCTCCACACGTGAACTTCATCCTCCTGGATAAAACACGTAATAAGAGATATACATATATAAGTATTAATTTAAGGAAAAGAAAAAAATAATACTAATGTATATAAAATAAAATAAAAAAACTTTTTGGCTTTCAAATTTACAATCACAGAAGAAAGCTTGAAAGAAACTATGACTACACATGTTCTATGTGTTATAGACTGACTAATTTAAGACATTATCAGTCATTTGGTCCTCGTTTAAATATAAACCAAAAATTACCTGAGCCAGCATTCGACTTGAAACATTAAATGGTTAACCAACCAGTTACTTAGGCGTACCGATCACCATGGAGTTGCTCCTGTGTAGGTGACTCTGTTTTTATAGAGGCCTTCATGAGATGCTCTGGTTGTACAGTAACCTGGATATTGACCAGACTAATTAGTTAAGCATTTAATTATCAAACCAATGTTAGACTTATAAGGCTCCATTGCTTCACTCTCAATGGCTACGAGTATGTCAGTATAGTTATGAGTTTAACATCGTCAGCTCGACTTATTACATGTGGAATTCATCAGTCTATCAAAGTGATAGATGAATGTTGCTCAAAATGTCCTCCAAAGTACAATTTTAGTCTTTGACCATTTACCTTAAACTTGTCACCTCCATTGTTCTGTTGGATTTCAATTGCTCCATATGGAGTAACATTTCTTACATTGTAAGGACCTGTCCACCTTGATTTTAATTTTCTTGGGAATAGCCTGAGTCGACTATTGTAAATCAGCACTTGATCTCCAATTTTAAAACTTTTTTGTCGGATCAAATTGTCATGCCATTTTTTATTTTTTCTTTAAAAAGTTTTGCATTTTCATAGGCTTCCAACCTACGGGTGTCTAACGGGTGGGACGGGCCGGGCTGGGTAGGAAAATTTAGGAACCGTACGGGTTGCGGTCCGGGCCGGTTACGGGTTGGGTCTTACCGGGTTTAACGGGTTCGGGTTCATCCGGGTAAAAAATGAACCGTAAGGGTTACAGGTACAAGGGGTCGGGCCGGGTTAGTGTAATTTTTAATTTTTATTTTTGTATTTTATTTTTGTATAACTATTGTAAGTTATATTAATATAAAGTAAAAATATAAAGAATACAATGAAGATGGGAAAAAATCGCACTTACAAAATTGCAAGTGCTACATTATTTCAAAATTCAAACTTACAAATGGAAAGGTTTACATTTAACAACAAGTAAATTAACGAAAAAAGAGTAAATTCAAAGGCCCCATTATTAAAAAAAAATTAAAAAAAATTAAATTAGCCGTTATACCGGTTTGGGCCGGTCCAGTCCGGGCCGGTTAACCGGTTGAACAGTAAAAACCGTTGACCGAGTTTGACCGGTCCAGTTAACCGGTTGGAATTAAGTAGACGGACCAACCACCCTTACCCCTTTAACCCAGCCTTACCCGACCCCCTTCTACCGATATGGGCCAATTCCGGTTTTAACTGGTCTGGGCCAATCCAAAAACGGGCTGACCCGGCCCGTTAGACACCCATATTCCAACCTCATTTCTTCCAACTTATTAACCTGAAAAAATCTATTTTTACCAACAGAGGCTAATTCAAAGTTTAGTGCTTTTAGTGCCCAAAAAGCTTTGTGTTCTAATTCAACTAGCAAATGACAAGCTTTCCCAAAGACTAATCTATATGGGGATGTTCCAATTGGTATTTTGAACGCTGTTTGGTATGCCCATAATGCATCATCTAATTTTAAAGCCCAGTCTTTTCTTGAGATTCCAACCATTTTTTCAAGAATTCTTTTTAACTCACGGTTGGAAACTTTAGCTTGCCCTTGAGTTTGAACATGATATGGTGTTTCTGTTTTATGAGTCACACCATATTTTGTTAGCAAAGCAGAAAACTGTCTATTCATAAAATGAGTCCCTTGGTCACTAATAATGACTCATGGTGTGCCAAATCTGGTAAAAAAAAATTTTGAGAAAATTGCACACAGTTCGAGCATCATTTTTCCTTGTGGGGATGGCTTCAACCCATCTGGACACATAATCCACACCCACAAGGATATATTCAAAAGAATGAGAAGAAGGAAAAGGACCCATGAAATCTATTCCCCAAACATCAAATATTTTACATACCTGTATTGATTGCAATGGCATCTCATCTCTCTTAGTGATGTTACCTGTTCTCTGACACCTATCACATTATGCAACATATGCTCGGGCATCTTTAAGGAGAGTCGGCCAGAAAAATCCAGCTTCCAAAACTTTAAAGGCTGTTCGATTTGCTGCATAATGACCTCCAATTGCTCCATCATGACTGTGATATAAAATTTTGTTCATATCTTCTTCAGGCACGCATCTTCTAATGATATTATCTGCACAATTTTTAAACAAGTAAGGTTCATTCCACAAATAATACTTTGCATCATATATAAGCTTTTTTCTTTACTGGTACGAGAGATATTGGGGTGTCCACTTTCCAACCAAGTAGTTTGCAATATCTACAAACCAGGGTGGTTGAGTCACAATTGAGTTAACTGATAAAATATGTTCATCGGGAAATTCTTCCTTTATTTCGCTAAACTCAAGGGGGGATTTTCTAATCTAGAAAAATGGTCAGCTACTTGATTCTCTGTTCCTTTTTGTCTTTTATCTCACGGTCAAATTCTTGTAGAAGTAAAATCCATCTTAACAATCTAGGTCGAGTATCTTTCTTTGCTAAGAGGTATTTTAAAGCTGCATGATCAGTAAAAACAATGACCTTGGTTCCTATCAAAAAGATCGAAACTTATCAAAAGCAAATACTATTGCTAGTAACTTTTTCTATTGAGGCATAATTTTGTTCAGCCTCCTTCATTATTCTACTAGCATAGTAAATGGGACGAAAGATCTTATCCTTTCTCTAGCCTAAAATAGCTTCAACTGCAGTATCACTAGCATCACACATGACCTCAAAAGGTTGATTCCAGTATGGGGACACAACTACAGGGGCGGTTGATAACTTTTCCTTAAGGGTCTCAAATGCTTTCGAACAATCACATGAAAATCAAACTTAATATCTTTCATCAAAAGGTTAGTCAACGGTTTTGAAATCTTTGAAAAGTCTTTTATGAACCGTCTGTAAAAACCTGCATGACTTAGAAAGCTTCTAATGCCTTTAACAGTTGTGGGAGGGGGTAATTCTACTATAAGATCAATTTTAGCCTTATCAACTTCTATCCCTTTAGCAGTGATTTTATGTCCTAAAACAATTCCCTCAGTAACCATAAAATGACATTTTTCTCAATTAAGAATCAAGTTTGTCTCTTCACATCTCTTAAGAACTAAGATCAAGTGGTGAAGACAATCCTCAAATGTTTTGCCAAAGAGTGTAAAATTATCCATAAAAATTTCAAGAAATTTTTTAGTCATGTCAGAAAAAATTGCAACGCTGAAATGTAGCAGGGGCGTTGCATATACCAAATGGCATTCTCCTATAGGCATATGTTCCATGAGGACATGTGAAAGTTGTTTTATCCTGATCTTCAGGTGCAATTGGTATTTGGTTATACCCTGAATAGCCATCAAGAAAACAATAAAAACCATATCCTGAATCTTTCTAACATTTGATCAATAAATGGTAAAGGAAAACGATCTTTTCTAGTGGCATCATTGAGACATCTGTAATCAATACATACTTTCCATCATGTGACAGTTCTAGTATTTATAAGTTCATTACTTTCATTTTTTATTACTGCCATACCTCCTTTCTTTGGTACTACCTGAACAGGGCTTACCCAAGGGCTATCTGAAATGGGATAAATAATACCTGCCGCCAAAAGCTTTACGGTCTTCTTTTTTACTACTTCCTGCATTGCTGGATTCAATCTCCTTTGGGGCTGGACTATTGGCCTGTAGCTATCCTCCATGAGAATTATGTGCATACAAACAGCTGGATTAATCCCTTTGATATCTTCTATAGTCCATCCCAAGGCTCCTTTGTGTGCTTTCAACATTTCAATCAGTTTTTCTTCTTATCCTGCAGTAAGAGAAGATGAAATAATTACTGGAAATAATTCTTCCTCAAGATAAACATATTTTAAATGATATGGGAGAACTTTGAGTTCAACTTTTGGTTGAACTTGTTCTGGCTGCATCTCCTCCTCTTCAAAATCTTTTTCTAGTATTTCGGCTTCTCTTCTGATGATAGGATCATCATCTTGTATGGTGCCAGATTTGGCAAAACATCTTTCCATTGAGTCTGGAATCAATTAATCATATTTGAATTCATCTGTAAGATAATTAAGCATGTCAATCGAAAAACACGAAGATGATGTCTCATCTCTTGAAAATCTTAATATCTTTTGCATATCAAACATGACTCTTTCTTCATCAACTCTCAATATTAGTTGTCCTTGATGAACATCTATAATTGCTCTACCTGTAGCAAGAAATGGTCTAACCAAAATGATTGGTTCATCACGACATTCCTTCATTTCAAGTACTATAAAATCTACAGGGAAAACAAACTTATCTACTCTTACGAGCACATTTTCAATTATTCCCTTAGGTTTCTTAGTACTTTGATATGCAAACTGAAGAGAAACACATATGTCTTTCATTTCACTAAGATTTAATTTTCTAAAGATAGAAAATGGAACCAAGTTAATTGAAGCTCCAGAATCACAAAGTGCTTTTTCAAAATATACTCCTCCCAAAGTGCATGGAATTGTAAAACTACCCGGATCACCAAATTTTTGTGGTAGCTTATTTTGAAGTATAGCACTGCATTTTTCAGTAAGCATCACCGCAGAAACTTCTTCCAATTTCCTTTTACTTGACAAAATTTCTTTTAGTAATTTGACATAAGAAGGCATTTGCAACAAAGCTTCAGCGAAAGGAATATTAATGTGAATTTGTTTTAAAATCTCCACAAACTTTGAAAATTGATTATCAAGATTTTTCTCTTTTCAGTTTTTGCGGAAAGAATTGTCACAGAGAAAGGAGTATATTTTTCAATATTATTTTCTTCTTTTTTCTTGACCTCTTCTCTTCAGATAGTTCAGAGGGTATTTCAACATTCTTACCCTTGTTTACATGTTGTTCTGACTTGTCTGCATATGGTTCATCAAGCTCCTTACTTGACCGTAAGGCGATGGCCTTAAGGTGCTCCTTTGGATTTTTCTCTGTATTGCTTGGTGATAAGTCGGGTTTTTAACATGTTTTATGCCCCTACTTGCCTACGCTTTGGTTATAGATTGCTACAAAATAGTCCCAAAATGCTCACAAGTTATGCTTGATTGCAGGTTTGATCGAAAAAGCGACAAATATCAAAGATCGGCTCAAGAAGGAGTGAAACCTGTTCAAGTGTCAAAGACTAAGTAAATTGAGGAAAAGAGAACCTAGTGCGGATTGCGCAAAAGTGAATGCGGCCGCACTAGGAGGTTCAGAGAGTTGGCATTTTCAAGCTGGAGGCAACGCGGGCGCGGTACGACTCACGCGGTCCGCGGTCAGGCTCCGCGGCCGCGCTACTCTTTTGTGCGGTCCGCGGAGCAGAGATTCAGATAGCTCACATTTTGCCAAGTCCAAGCAATGCGGCCCGCGCTAGTTTTAGTGCGGTCGCGCCAACTTCCACCGCGGCCGCGGTACACTTTCACGCGGTCCGCGGTCCTCAAGTTCAGAGAAGCATAAATTGAAGTCCAAGAGCCAGTGCGGCCGCGGTCACCTTAGCGCGGCCCGCACTGACCCCGCAGGGGTATTTTTGTCCGGTTTTTTTAGCCTAGTATAAATAGGATATTTTACCATTATTAGGTCAAGTTTTATATCCCAGACTTAGCTGCGCTCGTGAGACTCACTTTTGTAGCCATTTTCGGCACTTTTGATCTTTATTAACAATAGATTATTGTAGTTTCTTCTTAGTAATCAATTAATATGCTTAGTTTTTCTTCTATTTCTTCAATTTCTGTATCTAGCATGAGTAGCTAAACCCATTAGCTAGGGTTGTGGCTCAACCCTAGTGTGGGTAATTGATGGGTGTTGCCATCTAGGGTTAGATTGATTATGGGTATTTATTATTTGAGTTGATTTTATGTTTTTATTTAAGAATTGGTGGTTGCAAACACTGATTCAAGCTTTGTGGGTTTGACTCTTCTTGAGAAAGAGAGTTTATGACCTCAAAATTGACCCAACAAGGAATTGGGATGGACTCATGAGAAATGATAGTCCCAATTAACGGGTTAAATCTCGAGAGAGTAATCACCCTACTTGAACCCTAGTTGCTTGATCTTATTGGCCTACCCAATTGGTCTCGAGAGAGTCAATTGGGCAAAATCACTCTCTCTACCGAGAGGTGTGAGAGTGGGTACAATTGTGCAACGGTTATAGCATAAGCCCCAAATATGTCAATCTATCCTTAGTAACATCTACCCGTCAATTAGCCACCTAGGTAATGCCACGACCCTAGTGCCTTTCTTCCCATTAGATACAACTTTGCAATATTCTAGTAGCATAATTTAGCGTTAATCATTAGTTTTATCATAGTAGTTATAAAATCAAAAACCAAGAATGTTTGAAGTGACATTAGGAGCACAAACACATCTCTAGACTAGACAGAAAATCCAACTCCACTACTAGCTCCCTGTGGAAATCGATCCCGACCACTATTCGGGTAAAAGCTATTGCGACCCGCTCTTCCTACCTTGGTGTAGCGTCGAGTTGGCAGCGATCACTTTTTGGCGCTGTTGCCGGGGAGCTTACGGTGTTGACTATCTGTTTGGTTAGTTTTGTGTTTTGCTTCTCTTTCCTTCTTGTTTACTAATTTTGTTTGTGTCGATCACTCAGGTACTATGGCTTTAAATGCTAATGACCCTATTGGCAATGCCATGGCGGGGGAGGAGGTAGAAGATATTGATCATGATGAGCTTCCCGTACCTCAAGCTCCACGTAGAGGCCGTCAGGCCAATGACAACAATCCTATTCCAGACCCTCCTCCGCCACCGCCAAGAGCAGTCCCAAGAGTTCTCCCAAATCAAGGGTACGCGAGTGCCATTGTTCCTCCCCGAATCCGGGCGGGGAACTTTCAAATCACAAATGTCATGTTGACCTTGCTCGAGCAACGAGGATATTTTACGGGCGCCTCCGATCAAAATGCATACAAGCACTTGAAGGGGTTCGTAGATACATGCTGGGGCAGCAAACAAACAAACGTGTCAGAGGATGCGTTGAGATTGAGGCTTTTCCCGTTTTCTCTTCGGGGTAAAGCGTTGGACTGGTTAGAAAGGCTACCAAATCATTCTATCACCACATGGGATGAATTGGCGGACAAATTTATTGCCAAGTTCTTTTCTCCAAGTCATATGGCGGCTCTTCGGGATGAGATTCTAGCTTTCAAGCAAATGCCAACGGAACCTTTGCACGAGATATGGGAAAGATATAGAACAATGGTGAAGGAGTGACCTAATAACGACATGACCAAGGCGATGATACAACAAACTTTTTATCGGGGCATCGACACCACGAAGCAGTGCATTGTGATCCAATTAGCCAGAGGGAACTTTATGAAACTTTCTTACCAAGAGGCATGTGATGTACTTGATGAAATGGCCGACACCTCTTCGGCATGGCAAAGCCGAGCAAATGTACCCCAAGGTGACCCCACGGTCATCCATTTGCACAAGGAATTGAATGATCATGGCCAAGCTATTGCCGAGCTTACAACAACTATGAATCAATTGGCGAAGGCGCAATTGCAACAAGTCCAAAACCCACGCCAAGTCAATGCAATGGAAGGTGTTTCTATGCTAAAAAGGAGGCAAAGAGGGCAACAACAACCTTAAGGTAATGGTGAGCAATTTGACAACAACAATGATGGTGGTGGTTATTCGAATGAGTGCTATGATAATCAAAGCGAGGAATGTCAATATGTCAATAACTACCAAGGGAATAGAGGAAATCAAGGGAATCAACAATGGCGCCCCCAAGGAAATTGGGGAAATCAACAAGGCGGCGGTAATTGGAATAATAACAACTAACAACAAGGTGGTTGCAATTGGAACAACAACAATCAACACAACAATTGGGGTAACCAAGGAAACAATCAAGGCAATTGGAACAGGAACAATAATAACTGTAGCAACAACAACAACAATCAAGGAGGGTGGAATAATAGCGGAAATCAAGGCAACCGGGGTCAAGGCTTTCAAAGGCCCCCCATGTACCAACAATTGAACAATCCACCTCCCTTTTAATCTCAAGGGTCTAGTTCTTCGGGTAGTGATATGGGGAGAATAGAAATGATGTTCGAACAAATGATGAAGAAGAACCAAGACTCTGATGCTCAATTGGCTTCTCATAATACCTCTATTCGGAATTTGGAGGTGCAACTAGGCCAAATCTCTCAATCGTTGAATACTCGACCTAAGGGTGCTCTACCAAGTGATACGGTAGTTAACCCGAAGGGAGGTAACAATCATGTGATGGCGGTTACAACAAGAAGTGGGAGAGGCGGTGATGTGCATGCCTCGAATGAAAATCAAGTTATGAATGATGATGTTGGGTTCCAAGAAGATGTGGGTCCTTTGATTGTTGAAGATGTGATTGAGACAAATGTGAACAATGAGGTGAGGATAGATATTGACGAGGCCGAGGTGGAAACACAAGATGTCGTGAACCCGTCTAGGGAACACATATTGATATGCCCGAGCCGGTGTGCCCAAAGCCAAGGCATCTTTGCCTAGACCACCTCCACCTTATCCTCAGCGGTTAGCAAAGCAAAAGAGTGACAATCAATTAAAGAAGTTCATAGATATGATGGAAAGCCTTACAATCAATGTGCCTTTGGTGGAGGCACTTGAACAAATGCCGGGCTATGCAAAGCTCATGAAGGATTTGGTCACAAAGAAGCATTCCATGGATTGTGAAACAATAAAGATGACTCACCAAGTTAGTGCGATAATGCATTCTATGGCCCCGAAACTTGAAGACCTTGGAGCTTTTACTATCCCTTGCACTATCGGTAGTGCGGAGTTTGCTAAGGCCCTATGTGACTTGGGGGCTAGCATTAATTTGATGCCTTATTCAGTCTTCAAGACTTTGGGAATTGGACAACCTGGGCCAACCTCAATGAGACTTCAAATGGCGGACCGGTCGATAAAGCGGCCTTTGGATATAATTGATGATGTTCTTGTCCGGGTGGACAAATTCATATTGCCGGCCGACTTTCTCATATTCGATTGTGAGGTGGACTTTGAAGTGTCGATTATTCTTAGGAGACCTTTCCTAGCTACGGGGAAGGCCTTAGTTGATGTTGAAGCGGGTGAGTTGACATTCCAAGTGGGAGATGAGAAGGTGGTATTCCATGTTTGCAAATCAATGAGACAACCCAATAGCACGGAGGTGTGTTCATTTGTGGACATTGTCACAGCTGTGATAGTGGATGACACAAGTTCCATGATAAATGTTGAGGATCCTCTTGAGGTCGTGCTTCTTAACATGGATGTCGATGATGATGTTAACAGAGTGGAGTGCGTGAATGCATTGCATGGTATGGGTTCATATTCATATGAGCCTAGGAAGTTATCTTTGGATCTTGAAAACTGCAAAACTCCACCAACTAAGCCATCCGTTGAGGAGCCACCGGTGTTGGAGTTGAAGCCACTTCCTCCACACCTCAGGTATGAATTTTTGGGCTCTAATTCAACTCTTCTAGTTATTCTTTCTTCTTGCCTTACTAACTTGCAGGTTGAGGCCACTTTGGAGGTGCTTCAAAGGCGAAAAAAGGGCAATAGGATGGACTCTGGCAGACATTAGGGGGATAAGCCCCGCATTTTGCATGCATAAAATCATCTTGGAGGAGGATGCAAGGCCTTCACTTGAACAT